TCCTGTGGTTCGTCACGCTCCGTATTCTCTCCACATGGCTCCGTGTGACCTTTGGCTATTTCTCAAGCTGAAAATGCCGCTAAAAGGAACCCAAATTTAGTCGAGAGAAGACATCGTGCGAAATGCGACGGACCGGCTGATAACCATTCCAAAAGATGCGTTCCAGCAGTGTTTCCAGCAATGGCAGAAACGCTGGGAGAAGTGTATACATTACCAAGGAGACTACTTTGAAGGGGATTAGGGTTTTGTTCCTCAAAGTCAATAAATTTATTTTTGCCGACCAAAGGTCCGATACTTTTTGAACAGACCTTGTATTCATGGTGCTGACTGGGATTAACTTCAGTGCCCATGGCCTATAACACTCACCATGGCAACCAGCTGGCTAGTTGTAGTTTGAGTACTGCTTTTGAGTAGTTTGAGTCAGGCAGATTCATTTCTTCCAGAACCTTCTAATTATTAAATATTAATTTAATTATAATCATTAAATTTATCAATAGGTGGCACCTAACACCTACCTCTAGGCCAAATTACTTGACATTTAATTAGTACAGTAATTAGTAGCATTAATATAGCCTGATGTAATCCAGCAATCATTTGGCATTAATCTAAAAATAAAGTTTATCAATGTCTATATTTGTAAAAATTTTTTAAAAATTATAAAATAGAATATCGATAATGTTATGTTACACTTCATTCAAAATAAATTTATTATTTTTATTGTAATTTCAGAGTTTAGGAGTGGTGCTTTATGTTTTAGTATGTGGTGCTTTACCATTTGATGGTTCTAATCTTCAGATATTGCGAGAACGTGTATTATCTGGTCGTTTTCGTATTCCATACTTCATGTCTTCTGGTATTTTATTATTATAACTTTTTTACTTTTACTTTATAATTTAATATTTATTTATTTCATTATAAGTTGTTAAACTTTAAGTTAGTTTGCATGTAATATTAATAATGTTTGACTGATAACGAATTGACATTTGAAATATAAATAATAATAATAAAGTAGAGTGGGCCCATAACGGGTTATAATTCCTGTCACATACTCTTCTTGCAAGTTCAGTGCTGCACCTTCCTTTTGCTATATCATCCTGGTGTTTGGTCAAGCAGATAGCCAACATTCTTGCTGTAGTATTTCGTACTATTCCGTTACGGGATTTTCTAATGGAACTGCATAAATTTTAAAAATAAGAAGTCAGGAATTTATGCAGTTCCATTAGAAAATCCTGTAATGGGGAATAGTACAAGATACATTGGGGCCACAGCAAGAATGTTTGCTACCCGCTTGACCGAACACCAGGATGATATAGCAAAAGGAAGGTGCAGCACTGAACTCGCAAGAAGAGTACATAACAAGAATAATAATAAATTATTTTGTCATGATAATAAATATAATTTATATTAAATTAATTTTCTTCAGAAAATATTTTATGGCAATTATATATACAATTTTATTTTTAATAATAGAACTGCTCTATTTGGAACTGGAAAAACTTTTTGAAGATGGATTGGTTAATTTGAAAACATGAGAATTGATTGTATTATTATTTACAGCTCCTGATAAAATAGTTCTGTTGTTAAATATTTGATTTTAGAGTGATTTTTGAAATAAGATTTGTTGCAAATAAAATTGAATTTGTTTTGAGATAATTTATTTATTATTTTACAATGTTTAAATCAACATAATATAAAAATTTATATTACTTTGTTATGAAAAATTTATACATATATTTCAAATTTAAGAACTATTTTAGATTGTGAACATCTTATAAGAAAAATGCTAGTGCTGGATCCATCAAAAAGATATACTATTTCTCAAATTAAAGAACATAAATGGATGCAAAGTGTAGAGCCTATTCCACAAATACTAACAACCAGTTATCTAAGCTGTGATGATAAAAAACACATTAAAGCTGGAGAATTTAATGATCAAATTTTGAATTTAATGCAAAGTTTAGGAATAGATATAACCAAAACAACTGAGGTAATATTATTATTTTAAATTAATATTAAATTAATAAATAATATAATTAAATATATATAAGCTAAAATACTTGATTTTCTGATTCTTGATATTTCATATCACTATGTTATAGATCATGCGTGACTTGATTTGCATAAATCCATTCGAACTTACAATTCAAACTCAAACTTTAAACGACATGTTGACCGAACGGATTTTTAACAGATATCAAACATCTATCTAGAAACTGTTTGGAACCTGAAGCAGAGCCCAGATGGGGTTCGAAAACATTTGTTTAACTATCTTTTTACGTGATCACACTGTAAATGGTTCTGGTACGTAATTTTTTAGTAAATCCGGTGTGATGAGTAGTGAATTATGTAAATAAATATGTTGGTTGTCTTTATTTTTTGTGTATTCAGTGTACTGTATTGAACAAAATGGTTATGTGGCTTGCACTCATCATTCTCTCAGTTATGTGGCCCACTGTGAAAAAAGTTTGGTGAACCCTGTTATAGATTATCAGATGAGATAGCANGGCTCTGCTTCAGGTTCCAAACAGTTTCTAGATAGATGTTTGATATCCACTAAATTAATATTAAATTAATAAATAATATAATTAAATATATATAAGCTAAAATACTTGATTTTCTGATTCTTGATATTTCATATCACTATGTTATAGATCATGCGTGACTTGATTTGCATAAATCCATTCGAACTTACAATTCAAACTCAAACTTTAAACGACATGTTGACCGAACGGATTTTTAACAGATATCAAACATCTATCTAGAAACTGTTTGGAACCTGAAGCAGAGCCCAGATGGGGTTCGAAAACATTTGTTTAACTATCTTTTTACGTGATCACACTGTAAATGGTTCTGGTACGTAATTTTTTAGTAAATCCGGTGTGATGAGTAGTGAATTATGTAAATAAATATGTTGGTTGTCTTTATTTTTTGTGTATTCAGTGTACTGTATTGAACAAAATGGTTATGTGGCTTGCACTCATCATTCTCTCAGTTATGTGGCCCACTGTGAAAAAAGTTTGGTGAACCCTGTTATAGATTATCAGATGAGATAGCAGTTGAAATAGAAAAGAAACATCATATTCTGACTTTTGATAAACAAAAATTTCAAGTTATCATTATTATGGCATAAGATTTTCTGCCAGTTTTGGTTTTGTATCAGCAAAATTATTTGTAAAAATTTTCTTTTTTGTCTGCTTTCTGATTAATCTATGGTTTTTAATGCTTTAAATAATGTTTTATACATTTGTAACATAGGAAAGATTTATTTTTTTACAGTGGCTATCTTAATAAGAGATTTTATAATTTCTCATTTTTACTCTCTAGGAAAAGCATGCCCTTTATCTCATGCAACTCTATTGTTCAACTTTTGGATATTCAACTTGTATATACATTTTTAGGAACTCATTAAATCTAGAAGTCAGGGACTGCCTGTATATTTTAAAAATTAATTGCTTTTTATTGTAATTAAGTAGGCATTAATTATAATTTAATACTAATAAAGAATAGACAAGGCAAAGTTTTTAAAATCAGTAAAATATATTTTCATATAATTGAACATAAAATCTAAAAACCTTGAAATGAATTAAATTTGTTGAAGTAAATAAAGTAAACTTCAAATAAAATATGATAATGAAATTTTTCTTTTTTGATCTTATTGAATACAAAAAGTCTTTAGTAAAAACATACATAAAAGATAATAAACAAGAATTAAGTTCCAAGATAAAAATTTCTTTCAAATCTTATTATATATTTTTTAATAATTTTTCTTATTTTTTAGTCTCTTAGAAATGAAAAATATGATCATCATGCTGCAATTTATTATTTACTGCTGGAAAGGTTAAGACAACATCGATCTTCTGTACCTACATTAAGCTACAAACCAAAACATGAACCTCGCAGGTCTAGTAGTATGACTGAACAAGCAACTAGGAGATTTACATCATATTTTTATCCATTTTCAACAGTATCATCCCATAAATTATGTTCTAAAAAACTTTCTTATAAACATCATGTTAGTATATTCATAATTGAAATTTATTTTTTACTTTAATAATAATATATTCTTGATTTAATTTATATATTTGAATGAAATAAAATTTTTGATTTTAAAATGTTAATACGAGGATCATTCAATAAGTCCTTAGAAAAAGATAGAAAAACAAATTATTTTAGGTAGATGTTTTATTATTTTTGAACATAATCTCCTTTAAGCTCTATACACTTTTCCATGCTTTTCTCCAACTTTTTTAAGCCATCTAAAAAGTAAGATTTTGGAAAGTCCTCAAAATAGGCATCTGTTTGGGCGATGACCATCTCATTCAACATGAATCATTGTCCGCCAAGCCATTTTTTTTAAGTTTGGAAATAAAAAAAAAGTCACTGGGGGCCAAATCCGGTGAATATCGTGGATGTTGTAATAATTTGAACTTTAATTCCATGATTTTGGCCATCAAAACTGCACTGGTGTGCATCCATGCATTGTCATAATGGAAGATGATCTTTTTCTTTTTCAAATGAGAATGTTTTTCCTTGATTTATTTGCTCAACCAGTGCAATAACAACACATAATACTCCCCAGACTTCCCAGTTATTGTTTTTTCCTTTTTCCAAGTAATCAGTGTAGATAATTCCGCATGTATCCCAAAAAACTGTGGCCATCACCTTCTTGACCGATTTCATCGTCTTTGCCTTCTTTGGAGCCCTTTCACCTTAAAAAACCCACTGTTCTGACTGTTCTTTTGTCTTTTGAGTATAGTAGTGTATCCATGTTTCGTCCACAGTTATGTATCAATGCAGAAACTCATCAGGATTGTGACAAAAAAGTGCCAAAATAGCCTCAGGGTTGGCCACATGATTATGTTTATTCTCCACTGAGAGCAAACGTGGCACCCATTTTGCTGAGATTTTTTTCACACTCAATTTTTCGTGCAAAATTGAAAACACTGTACTTTGCGATATGCCTGTGGTCTCAACTATTTTGTGCACTTTGATTCATCAATCACTCAAAACCATATCATGGATTTTGTCAATCATTTTGGGAGTAGTCACTTCCATTGGACGTCCCAAACGACATTCATCTTTTGTGGATGTATGGCCATGTTTGAACTCATTTACCCAAATTGTAAACAGTTGCAAACACAGGAGCAGATGTGCCATGAACTTCATTCAACTCAGCTTTGATCTCTTTCAGTGTTAAGCCTTTTAAATATAAGTGTTTAATCACCGCTCAAAACTCACTTTTTTCCATTTTTCTAAATAAACAAAAGTTTCTTGCTTCAAATTGACAATAAAAATTAAACCATGTGATGGATATGACTGAGACTTTCACAACTGTCTAGTGAATCGTGATGCTTACTAAAAATGTGCCATTTTTGAGGCTACGAGCGCCATTGGATTTTCTAAGGACTTATTGAACGACCCACGTTGTAAGAAGATAGTCAATATATGAAATCTATTTTCATGAAAAGAAACCATATTGATCATATTCTCTTGCTAACGACATTTAAATCAATCAATAAAAAAATAATAAAATTGATAAAAACTAGAAATGGACAAATATTACTTTTCTTGAATTTCAATATTAACCAGATCTCAAATATTCAAATATTTGAGATCTGGTTAATTTTCATGATTCCACATTCATTTATACCTTGAATACTTAGTAAACTTAATTAACTTATGTAACTTACTTAATATTTGTTATTTAACTTGTTTTACTCATTTCAATAAATTAATAGTGAAACAAAAAGTAAAAAGAAAAACAATTTACTAAATTCTAAAAAATTAAACTTCAAACTTTTAATTTTGACTGAGTTTTAAATTAGCTTTTCTTAGGTACTACATCACAACTACAATAGCTTAGCAAAGAATTGTTCTCATTCAATTTATATGCCTTTGTGTCCTTAATTAAATAATTTTAAGATAAATCGTCAACTAGGACATATCTATTATTAGGACTTATTATACTGGATAACTGGTTCCGCAAATTAAGTAAACAAATTCAGAAAAAGTCTTTATTTATCACCTGTATAAATAAAGACTGTTTTTCTGAATTTGCTTACTTAATTTGCAGAATCAGTTATCCAGTATAATAATAAATATGTCCTAGTTGACANATTAATAGTGAAACAAAAAGTAAAAAGAAAAATAATTTAATAAACTTTAAGAAATTAAACTTAAAACTTTTGATTTTGACTTTTAAAGCAGCTTGTTTTAGGTACTATACTTTTATCTTTAACTTATAGATTAAGAAATAATTGTTCTCATTCTCATCTACTGCAGATTTTTATTTAAGATAACAGAATTCAAAAATGTTCAAGATCAGGTCTGTTTCTTTTCTTGTCACAAATTAAACCAGAAGTGCTGTTTGTACACAGTGGCAGATTTAGGGATACCAAAAAAAATTATTTTAATTTTATTTTAAATAAAATTTATTTGTTTAAACTTCAAAATGTTGTTTTTAAAATTATGGTGGGTAAATATTGTTTATTACAGGGCTTCTTAAAGTTTTTGCATTCACAACCTCCTTATCCAAGAAAATTTTATGCAACACCTAGTATAGGTATATAAAATAGATGTACAAATAAAAAAATCATTAATCATTGATAATAAATCATAAAAAAATTCATTTCAAAACAATTGTTTGGTATACATATTATTTTATCATTTATTACCAATCATTAAAGACAAAAAGCAAATTTACACACTAATAGGATGGATGTGCTTGTTTATTTTTGCATAAAGAATTAAACCTTGGCTGGATATTTGATACACAGGACACAGTATCAAAATGTCAGTCTATGTTTTTCAGAGATGACTGACATTTTGATTTTATAATCATCAATGCTGAAAGCACTGCTTTGCATAAATACATAGTACAAATTTTTCATGATTCCACATTCATTTATGTGACTCCTTTGGGGTCATAACCCACAGTTTAAGCCTTTTTTTATTAGATCATTTGCAATATAACTGTCATGCACATGTTAATAAAAGATACTTATTAATTATTCAAATATTCCTAATTTTTGAGTTATTCCCCCTTTGGCACTTTCAGATCTGCCACTGTGATTGTACATACATATGGTGTGATATTGGAGATATTCATAGTATTCACATTTATTTTTTTTTTATTAATGTAATAGTCAAGATCTCAAATCAAATACTTTCTAGTATTTGAGTATTTGTGGATAATATTTGTCCATCTCTAATAAAAACTAATATAAAATAATGATCATTAAAAAGTTTTAGAAAGGATAGTCATTCTTTTGAACTGCATTGTAGTTTTATGCTGTAAATTATTTCTTTAGGAAAGGAACATTAATCCACACCAACACTTGCCTTTATCTCTACTTCATCAATGCCATATACATATTTTGGGAATTTTCAATATGGTACTTCATTTTTTGTTTATTTTTGTCGTGGCTATGAGCAATAACCCGAAAGGATGAGACACTTTATTATTCGTTCAGCTGGTTACACAGTTAACGGTCAACAATGTCAAGCGCGGGCGAAGAACGGTTCAACTGCCTTCCCTCATCGTTTTCTCTCTCTCCTCCTCCACTTCCGTCCCTAACTCCCACACCCTCCAATAAATCTCTTGCCCCCGGGTACACACCCTGATCGAGTCGTATCCACCACGTGCCTCTCCAAATTTTCCCTTTTGCCGTTGGTGGGCCCACTCATTGTTGCATCCCTCACAATTTTTAACAAGACATCTCTGCAGTAGGTTTGTAACAATGGTAAATTTATTAAAAATTCACTAAATAATCAAAAAATCTGGCACACAAACTAAAAATCTAATCAAAAACCTCGCGTTTCTTTATGCAGCGCTCGAGAAGCGCTTTACAGCGAACACACTGAAATTGGTTTCTAATTGGCCAATACTGCTCGTAACGTCATTTCGCTACACTCTTGCTGCATAAAGAAATGCGGGGAAACAAATGTCTTCCGTCACCTTCAGTGATCATCTTCAAGATTATATTAAATTAACAATATAGAACAACATATAGAATAAACTTTACAAATTTAAATTATATGGAACATTGAAATTGTCTGTGTTTTCAAAAATCCACTGAAAAATTTTATATCACATCAAATAAAATATTAATATGACAAAATTTTTCAGTGGATTTGTGAACAGACTCTACCACATATGTGGCAACAAGCAATCTGATCAATGTTCCATAAATATAAATCTATAAAGTTTATTTTATATGTTGTTCTATATTGTTAATTTAAGGTAGTGTTTCTCAACGGGGGCGATATCACCCCCATGTGGGCGTTTTTCCATGTTCAGCGAGCAATTAGTAACAATTTATATTTTGGGGGTGAAAAACAATTTTCTGGGCGATATAGTAAAATATTATATTAAGAATAATTAGATATTTTATTCGTTATATTGTACAATAATTAAACAAATAACATTATACTAGTCACTAGTCTATTCAATGCAGTACGAATTTGGTGTTAGCCTTGTCACTCGGCATCAAAATTTTGTAGTGAAGGGGGCAATACTATGTAATGGTTTTATTGAAGGGGGCGACGATTCGTTAGAGACTGAGAAACACTGATTTAAAGTAAACCTGAAGATAAAGCTGAAGGTGATTGAAAACATTTGTTTTTGCTTAAACTTTTAGTTTGTATGCTGGAGTTTTTGGTTATTTAGTGAATTGTGAAACTGTAAAGTACTATATTATTTTTCCGACTTTCCAACGATTATTGACACTACTGTGTGCCGGAAATAGCCGTTCCCTAACGGGTACTTTACGCGGATTTGCGTTAGTGTGCCAGGCCTGGACTTTAAGCGTGCACCGAATTAAATAATGACAAAGTTTGTCAATAACAAAATCAAATATTTAATTAAACTTCTAGTAATAAACTATATACAGTATTTAGTAAAAATCAAACAATAATTTATTCAATGAAATTCAACAAGAATCAATCC